GATGGTGTAACCATGAGAAATAAATCTAACTGACAAGGAAATAAATTTCATCTCCATAGCTTTGCCAGTTACACATATAATTTCTAATTTGCTTTAGGGTTTCATCTTGACAAATGATGGAGTGGTTCAAGGGCATTGATTGATGATGGTGTAACCATGAGAAATAAATCTAACTGACAAGGAAATAAATTTCATCTCCATAGCTTTGCCAGTTACACATATAATTTCTAATTTGCTTTAGGGTTTCAGCTACTCTTGACAAATGATGAAGTGGTTCAAGGGCATTGATTGGGTGGACAAATTCTTAAGCTATCAAGTTCTTAGAAATAGGAAACTGCTTAGCTGGATTTAGATGTCCTGTGTCTTAACCCTAAAGAGAAGCAAGCTAATTTTTCATTTGTCTACGAACAGTAGGTGCTTTTCCCTTCATTTTTTCATTGGATCAGGTAACCTTCAAGACCTTATCTATTGTTACAAATTTGAATACACTCAGCAAAAACCCAGTGCTGTTTACTCTAATGAGACCAGAGTCTGGCATTTCTATGTGAACATAATTTGTATTCCCCATCAAAAGTGATTTTTTTAATGGCCTCCTTAACAAGATAATCCATCAAGGAACTGGTGACAACTGCACCCAGTAACCTACTTAACACATCCAGTTAGACAACAATTACACATTACTGCATGTCATCAAGGCAGGGTGTAACTTGATATTAAATATAGCAAACACCTTTGACAGTGGACCACGGCTGCTTGAGAAGGTTGAAGGTGGTGACTTCTGAGCAGAAGAATTGTTTGGCTTTGGGGTAATACTGACTTGGGACTGGAGAAAACATCTACTGCACATGAGGGTAGATCAATCATCACCAGATTCAAGAAAAGGCTTGAGTTTGTGGATGGTACTCAGAGCTGTTTGTTCACGAAGGACTTCCTGAAAATTTTATTTCATTAGATTCACAGGATAGGCATATGATGGTAGAGCACACCTAGAGGAGACCTCGCTCAAATTGGCATCTTAAGTGAACATGCTGCTTGTTCTGAGTTGGTCTGTTCAAGTTTTACAGGGAAAAGCCAATTTTCCCATGTCTCTCAATTTTGAAATAAAAGATCCAATTGATAGTGTGTGTTTATGTGACTGAGATGGAACTGCAATGAGAGAAATATATTTTATATATATATTTATACTGTATACATCTTGCAAAAGAGTAAAGCAATCACTATGAACAGTTCCAGTGAACAATTCACTACAGATACAGTATTATGAATGTTCAGGAAAAAGTCACAGTTTTTCTGGACCTTTGGGAATATTTTGATTTGAGACAACATTTTATCACAGGGAAATTTGCCATCCCACAAGTAATGAGAATTTGGAAACTATTTCACAAGAAATACTGAGAATTATTCTGCATCTTATCTATGTACTACCCATATTTAAGTATTGCCAAATATTTACAATTGTTAGAAAGTCATAATCTAAGTGATCTTTAAATGCTTGGTGTTTTTAAAGAGTCAAAAGTTAATTTAGTACAAATCAGGTATTTAAAATTCACACCTACATTTCAGGTTCAGTTACAGGAAGTTTGGGATCAGTCTGACTGTTGGTTACCTTACAGACACAAATAAATCTTTCAGGGAATAGAGGAAATACCAAGGTCTAAATAATATGGAATGGTTGTAGTGTGAAAAGGCATGCTGGAGTTTGTCAGTGAGGGCCAGTCCACATTTAAAGTTCCTTTGTTCCTAAGGAAGAAGAAAGCAGAATTTACTGGCAGAGATGCAGCTTCTATCAGTAACATACATTCCTGACATTTTCCAAATAACTCACCTTGCCAAAAAGCCTAAATAAACTTCAGAACATTTGGTAGAGTGAGCTGAATCTCTTCACTACAGGATTTTGCTTAAGTGCTTATGTCAGAGGTATAATGTTTTCTTGATTCTTCTGTTTCTTATGTTTTGGCGAATAAAATCTTACTGTATAATCAAGGCTCTAATTTTCACTGTTTTGAATTATCTAATCCTGGAAATCACTATTGGTGCACAGTAACACAGAATAGTTTGTTCCTGAAATATCCCTTCAGACTTATTTTGCTTATAAAGTTCAGTTCATGCTTTGCCTTCATTACAAAAAACATACCAATGTATCTGTAACAGGCATATTTTTCAAAAAGAGGAACAACTTTTACCTGCAGAGTGGTTTTTGCTTAGTTTGGGACAATAATGTTTCTCTTTTTCATTCATCAAATGAAATGAACTGTGTTGACAAAACTACCTTCTTCTGAGGTAAAAGCTGATAGTCCTGAGCAAAAAAAAAAAAAAATCATCATCTGGAAGCAAACCGAATTTTCATTCTAACCTATTTTCACTCTGAGAGCAGATTTCCATGTAAAAATCAATAAGATATTCAAATACCTTTCTATTGCAACAGTGAAAAATTTGGTGAGAGTAACACACAAGATGAAATCAGGTGTTGGACTGGCAGGATAATAATGTGGTAGCAACCATTTTAGTTTATCGTGGGTATCAGCTGTGAGATGGCAGATCTCTGCAGCTGGAGTGGTGAAACAGCTTAGCTGGGCATTTTGGGAGACAGAGAATAACTGAAAGTGTGGCTACTGTTGACCCAAAAATAGGCAAAATCATCTGCTATTGGTAAATGACCTCTTTGAGTCACATAAGCTGCAGGGGAAGTTGAGTCTGACAAGTACAACTTGCACTGATTGTCTTTCAGACAGGTTCCATCCAGGATAATGTACTTTGTGGGTTTGCAGCAGGGTTTTTATCATGTTTCACATATCCTGTTTGGGTACACCCTTCTGGCATTCTGCTGAGCTGACTTGAGTCTGTCCACACTATACTGCAAACTGTGGTACAGAGGGATCCTGACTGATTTTTTAGCGGTGGGAGTGAGATGGGAATATGCCATGCTCATTCACCAGTGGCCTACAGAGTATGTTAGACATATGTATAACTTATTGAATACATTAATATTCTCACTGGCTGCTTAAAATCAATTCCTTTGATGGTTCATAACTGTATTCACAATATTCTACATCTGTCTCATACCTGTAAAGTATATATGCAGCTTGTTGAAAGAGCAGGTCTTGCACTTTCAGTCCAGGCCTGTAATGCCAAATCAATGTATCTCACTTCTGTCAAATCTTCTGTGTACTGCATGACTAGGATATAATGTGATAATGTATATTAGTAAGGTAAATTATTATATTATGCATATTAATATTATAAAAGGAAAGTATAATTAAAATTAATATATAACTTTATAGCCTTACAACACAAAAATATGTGCAAAACTTTGTCAGTTTTATCAAGGGAGACATAAGCACAAATAGTATCAAAAGCGTCAGCACAGAAAGGCTACATTGCCTCTTGGAGACACTCAAGAGCTGGACTCACCCTCCTGCTATGTGACTAGATAAATGCTTGTTGTGTGACTGAAAAGCAGTTCATAGAATAATGAACATCTGGAAGTCACACAGACCACATCTCCTTGGGGATAGCAGTTTAGGATTCTTTTTCCCTTATCTAATTGGAATTTCTCATGATGCAGCTTGTGTCTGTTAGGATTTCTGCTGTGTCCCTCTGAGAAGTCTTCTCTTTCTAAGGCTGACCTAACCCTGCTCACTCAGCTTGTCCTCACACACCAAGTGCCAAGTGCCTTTATCACCCTGGTGGTCCATGTCGGGTGTCAATGTATTTCTTATACAGGGGAGTCCAAAACTGAAAATGGGACTCCAGCTGCAGTTTCACAACTGCCAAGCAGCTGGGAAGAAACACCTGTCTTGACCTGCTGGCCACACTCCTGCTTATCTCTGCTCACATGATGGGACTGAATTAAGGGATGTGCTACACATGTTCAAAATTACTTCAAACAAACATGCAAATAATCCTTTTTCCCTTATTCTCACTGCAAAACCCAGAATTAGTGCCATAACTGTCTGCAGTATAGATTTTCCTATTAACAACTCAACACAGAAGCCTTGTACCCAAAACTCAAGCATTAGTACTCATATAGCCTCATTAAAATCCTATAAAACTTCTCACAGACAAGAAAATTCTAGCCATTAAATCCTGTGAACAATGCTAATATAAAATCTTGCACTTCATCACGGCCCTTACAGACAAAATTTTTGCAAAACTGCAGTGCTAAAGGAGCTGATAATATCATAAGTTTATATAATGCTTCTTTTCCTTATTAGAGTTTCTTTGCAGGCTTTTCAGACGTGCTCCAACAGGTGATGTATGTTTTCCCTGTCAGCTCTCCTCCCTAACTAAATAATTTACTTTGTAATGTAATAAATGTCGGGCGTATGCTTCCCAGCATGGATGCTTGAATCTAACATTCCATCAGACAAGCTTTGATTATAGGCTTTTTTTAATTATGAATCTACAAGGCAGGCCTGGCACAATTCTGTCACGAAACCAGTACATTGGTGATCTTGAGGTAAATGTAAAAAAATACAGTCTCAAATATATATGAAACTATCTCCTTTATGTTCAACAGATTAGGATTTACAAGTTCTCATTTCAAGACAAAATTGAGGTTGGGTATTTCCAAATGTGGGTGCCTAAATATATTAGGACATACATATGATATAAAAGCAGTGTTCACTATATGAAGGTTCACTGTTAAGGTTGAAGAAATCTGAAAATAAAGAACCTTAGATAAAGACTCTGCCTTCCCAACATTTCTGCAAACCAAACCCCTTCTCTGCAGATTCCTGTGATTGAAAACATTGGCCCTGGGCTTTAGGACATACTATTTCAAACAGATAAACCTGTCTCTGTCATCACTGGTAAATCAGTCTAGTCCTGACAAAAACAGAACAGGTTTTACTCTCTATTTAAAAACTGAAATTACTATAGCAAAATTTAGCACTGTAGTGGTAGCAGTTTTCCAAAATTACCACCAACAAGAGATTTTTATACCTTTGAACAGTTGCTGTTCAAGAACTACCACAGAATAAAACAAAGTCCAGTCTATGTAAGCAATTTAAAAATTCTATTTAATGTATGTATTACAATTCACATGCAAAACCAGGTTTTATTCAATATTTAGCATTTCCTGTAACACACCAGGCTGATGGCTATCATCCTCTCAGCAAACTTAAAATAGATCTGACATCTTTTCTGGCCTGGTGGAGCACTTGTTATGATTGTTCTTCATTACAATTTAAATTGCATACAGTAGCACCAACGGAAAGAAGAGAGACTTTGCCTTACCTTCTTTTACCTTTGGAAGAGCAATAGTTATAAACTGAACCAGATTCTCTCACATTACTATGGACTTATAGTAAAAGTTCCACCATCTCTCTACTAACTTTTACATTACAGCAAGAAGATGGGTGCAGTCATATTTTTCAGAATATTTCTTGTCTGTGAGCTATAAAAGCATCTGTAAGGCACTCTGTTGACAAACTAGTCTTTGCTTTGAAATTATGCTTATTACAACAGTAAGGACTTTTTTGGCAGAGAAGAATTAAGAATAGTATCTTTCCCTTTTTATGAGGAAAGAAAGGAGGGATAAAATATTCACATGTATTTATATTAATAATTTAAATTTTATCTGATTCTTCTTTCAGTTTGAAATACTTCTGTTTCAAGCTAGGCAAGTTTTCCTACATAGGTATTTCCAAAGAACCATGAAGTATGTGTCACAACTCCCCTTTTCTCTTCCATTTTAAAAAATACAAATGAATCACTTTTGGACTCTTGGTTTGAAATATGCGGAAAACTTTGTTGTTCAACCATCTTTTATGCTTACTTGCCTCTGCTGAGAGCACCACCTCTACAAACACCAGTAAATATAAAAAGCACATGGCATAATGGGTAGTTTCCCAAAATAAGATCATGTAATACAGTAAAAATGACCATACACATGGAACAAAAGGAGAGCACATGCTCAGTCTAAAGTGTCAGCTTCAGCAGTGGAAACCTGTTCCTGAACTTCGATGTAGAAAATTTTACGTCAGATGAGTTGAACACATATCTATTTATAGCCTGAAGTTCTAGGACTGGTTTTCATGCTAAATAAAAATGCAACCACTATAAATATGAGTGTTAGAATCAGAACAAAGAGGATTATGGGTTTAGAGCAACATGATACATGTTTTTTTTCTTAACTGGCATAATGTAATAAATTACTGATGGACAGCTGCATTAACCTCTTTAGAAAGCCAAAGTTCTTTCCATACTTAGCATACTGCCTTCTTCCTGTTCTAATGCAGAAATTTTATGTAATTTCCAGTGCAGAACCAAGAATGAAGCCTGCATGATGTGTAGAGCACTAAATTTTGTGAACCAAATCAATCAGACAAGTCCACTGTCTTGAAGACAACTCCATTCTTTTTAGTGTAGGGAGAATTTGGTATCCATGAAAGCTTTTACTTGACTGTAGTGAGTCAGGACCTGCTCAAGCAAGCTGCATTAGCCAAGATGAAAACACAGAAATGGGTGCATGTGGGCACTGGTCTTGGTATTGGTGTCTCCTTCCAGGACTATTTATGCATTTTGAAGTGGACAAACTTGGGTAAAAATCAACAGAGGTATTTGGAGTTGCGTCCAGGACTAGGATTCTTCTTCTACCCCATCCAAAGGCAGACTTTATCACAAAGGTATGACCAGATCCTTCTGCCCTTGTGCATTTTGCATTGTTAGCTTAATGGCTGTACATGAACTTCAGCAGAAGACCTGAAAACCTCTTGTCCAGTCTGGAGCTAAGGCACTCTCTGGAAAAAATGGCTTTGAATTAAAAGAAGAAGGACAACCAGCTTCCCAATTGTTTTACATGGATCCTAACTCCTAGACTATTACACAAGAATTAAACCAAGGTGGTCTAAAACTCTGCTAACAAATTTCAGATTTCACGCAGTCCAGAATACTGTGGAAAGGTATTGTTGAACTAAGACACCAGTGTTTCCATGGCCTGAAATTCCCAAGTCCTTCTGTGGATCTGTGCCTACATTTACAGACAGTCATAGGCAGGGAACAGGTCTTCACAGTGGTGACTTGGCACCCAAAGCACTGTGGTTGTGATACCTACAGAGTCTGTTTTAAAGTAGCACTTAATTCTGGTGATTCACAGCCATGATGATTATAAACTTATTTCTCTAATCTCTCCCTCTGCTCTCCATTTCCCTCTAAAATTGGTGTTACATCATGTTGTCTGTCACCCGTCATAAACCACAAAATAATCTGAAAGCATGACCAGATCTGATACCTGTAAATCTCAAATATTCATTTTCTTTGTCTACTTCAAAAAATTTTTTATATACAAGAAAAGATCTAACATTGAGGTAAACTTTATGAAGAAATCATAACACTGTTTCAACGTATCACAAATGCTCCTTTAGAAAAACTTGCACTGCCTCATGGCAAGATCTTTTGTGGTGACTAGTTCCTCACAAAACTTCAGTAAACAGGTGCCATCTGGAACATGAGCAGCTCTGTGCTCTGCTTCCTGATGATGCAGTACATCAAACAAATCCCCCAGACACTCCTCACTGCAGGCTCAGTGTCTGTCTGGTGGTGGTCATGGAGCCAAAACTGTGAGAACCAACATTGTAGATCAGAATGAGCAGGAAAAAGGGTATGAAAATACAAGAAGAATACATAACTAAGAATGCCTGCTACTGCGTAAGAGGCTTAGATTTCACAGCTTAATTCCTATTCTTGCATTTTAAGTGGGTAATTTTCTCCTTCCAGTACAGTTATAGATCTTCCCTTAAAGGCTTTTTCCTGTGGCAACTGCAGACTGAGTCCCTGTCATCAGGCTGAGGTACAAGTTCCATTCCATCCCGTATTTCAGGTTTGCTGGCTTGGCGTTCGGCATATTTCTGAAATATGTAAACAACATTTAAGAATGCTATAAGCATCAACATATAATTCATGAAGCAGAATTTTCCTCCTCCCTTCCATTAGAAGCCTACCTTTATCCAGGTATATGGATATGTCATTGTTCACAACCTCTGCACAAGGTGTCTTTGTAACACGTCTACTAATGGGCTACACTGCCTCTGAAAACCTCCTTTCATGTTTCTGCCTATTCTTATGGTAACTTGAATATTGTCATCATTTGTGCCTAATCACTTCATGCAGATAGCATAAAAATGTCATTTTTGTGCACTGAAGTGTTCCAAACTTTGTGCTAACCTGTGGCTGGTGAAGCTGATATCCAACTGCACAGCAGTACAGGAAAAAGATACTTTCAGAGAAGAGAAATTTCATTCACTAGGGATTTGCATTTTCTAAGGAAGAAATGACTACTGGGCCTGCTTCATCCCTTACACTCTACTAGTCACACTTCTGGAACTTCTTTTCCACATATTCATTGTTTTGTAGTGGAGTAGCTCATAATGTAAGTGTGAGAAGTGTGAAGGGAAAAAGGAAGAAAACTGGACATACCGATTATCTCCTACAGAGATCTATTGGAAACCAAATACCAAGTGACAATGAAAACAGAGCTGACTGAGGATGGGGGCAAAAAAAAAATCCTGATTCTGTTAAATAACTACTACATCAGGTAGCTTCTTTAATGAAGAAGCAGGGCTTAGCAAAGCTTTCACATTGCTCTCCTATGAATAATATATACCATGTGTGCTATTGATTTAAGTAAGGACTGAATATGAAATTTGTAGCAACAGTAGCAGCTGGGGGGGAAAGTAATAAAGTGATCCATTATACTCACCTGGAGCACTTTATAATAGTAGCAGTAAAACCTGTGAGGCTGAAGTAATTCTCTTGCCATTAGTTGTCCTTCTTTAGCAATTTTTCTTGCTTCCTCATCATTTTTCTGGCAAATTCAGATGAAACAAATGAGTAACAGAGCAATCAGTAAGTTACCCAAAGCCTGACTAGCATTAGAAGTTTTATTAAACGCGCTATTCAAATCTGCAAAATTAACTGCAATTACTGGTAGATTGCAAAGGCATGATTAAAATTGCAGATTTGTTTAAAAATACTGGATTGCTTTTATTGCCACTACTGCTACCTTAGGGCTATCAATAACAACTTTCATGAGTAACTTTGGTACAATTTTGAAAACTCAGTTGATTACTGTTCTACCATTTTGTCCAAGCCACAAGCCTCTTCAAAATCAGTTCCAATACCTCCCAGACCTACTTAGTTTTATGGAGGACAAAACCACAGCTCTTGTCCTGTCCAATACAATGGAATTCAATGTCTTCTTTTTAAAAATAACTGCATGAATTCATGTACTTATTCTCAAGCTTTTTAAGTCTATGTTTCAAAGCTTTTGGTATCCTCCTCTGATTCCTTAGGTAGAATTACAGTACTCTCAGAAGATAAAATCCTCCTGTGCTTTTTTAACCTTAACAGCACTTTGACTTAAAGCACAAATGGTGTCTTCAATCACAGAATTGTATCTGTTTGCTTGCAGGATCTCAGCCTCTCAGTCTGAGCATGTTAAAAGAAAGCAGCAATTTTTTGTACATTCAAACAGAACATGCAGTAAATTCTGCTGAAGTCAGGGCCTAAAAAAAGCTATAGCATTAATTAAGTAGTATCTAAGAATCTGGTTGTTTCTTTCACAATTACTTTAGTCAGTATGCTAAGGCTCTGACTCATGAACTCTTCTGCCCATACTTAAAATGAACACTTAAGTACTGGCTAAATAGAGATGGTTATTTCAAAGAAAGCCTTCCCATTTTATACCAACAACAAAATGTACTTCCTTTATTCCAGGATCTCAATAGAGTTCATGCAATATATCTATCTATATATGTGTGTGTGAATACAAAAGAAGAGATATTAAGATAAATTGTTTACTTGTTTGTTCATCACTTTGAATTTGAATCAATAATGAACTTACCTTAGCCCATTTTATTTTCTCTAGCAAGTCCTCTAAGTTTCTCTTAACTGGAACATAATGTTTCCAAGGTTTTAATCCAATATAAAAGTGTTCATAGTACTGGGAATCTTGCTTCAACACCAGGCTGTCTCCCAGCAGGAGGTATGGAAACCTGTAAGCTGCTACAGTGCCATCTACATTCACTTGGTATTTGTACTACAGCGTGCAGAGAGAGGAAAAGAGGTGAAATGTTTTGTATCAGAATGGGAACAATGACTGTATAAATTACTATTTTAACAGGCAAGAAGTAATCATGTCTATTCATTTTCAAACTCCTTTCAGCGTTAAGCACATGTAGTTTCATGGTCTTCTGGATAACATAATGGAAAAAGGATTTGTTTTCAACACAGGGTTGACAGTTAAGAACCTTTGTGTCACATAAGATGCCTGATGGGTGTTCTATTGAAGTGTCATGGGACAGAGAAAGGGCTACAGCAGGGAAGGAAATAAAACTAATCTATACTTCAATTCAAACAGAGTAAATTTATTCTGACTTAACATTATTATACATAATAACCTGAAACATATTATTATATAAAATAAGCTGAAACATTATACTAGAAATAACCATGAATGTACTGCTTTGGCAGATGTTCTTGGCTGCTACAGCATTTCTGAAATACTGAACTTCAGAACTGAATTTCAATTGCTATATATTATAATGGCTTTATACAGGACTCTGTCCTCTTTATTTTTTATATCTTTCCTGCAGTAGAATCTGTATGTTAAAGTACAATAAAAACACTCATCTATTTTTCTAATTTGTTACTACAAAGACTCTGACATCCATAGTGTACTTGCAATGGATATAAGTTGTGTCCATTGTTTTCATATTTACCCCAAATCAAAGAAACCCTGATGGTGAGAAATCCAATTTCTCAGCCTATTAAAACACAAAAATAAGCCAAGGTGTCTCTCTAAAGGTCTTTCTTGGCTTTCTCTACAAGTGTGTCACACCAGGACATTGATTACAGATGGTTTATTTACTCCGCATGGACCTGTGCTCTTACAGCAGCATAACTGTTTTGTTTACTGAAAAGAATTAATAAAAGCAAGCTTTGTCTTTTGAGTTGGTAAGAACTTGACAACTAAATTAATCCAAAACTATAATTTGATTGCTACCTTAAAGAAGTCAAAGAAGCCCATCAGCTGAGCCTTCCCCAGCTCTTTTTCTTTTTCTCTGAAGAAGAAATATCCAGTTATTCCAGCATCTAGTAGTTCTGGATTTTCCTTGGATAACTTGACAAGATGGAGACGTTCTTCTCGGCTGTCTCGACCTCTGAATAAAGCCCGCTCAGTTTTGTTTTCCCAGAAGGGGCCTATGAGCAGTGAGTGATAAGGCAAAAGCAAACAGCAGTGAAATGTTCAGGATCTGTTCAAGGCAAATAAGGAACTTGGTTTGACAGTGGCATTACACTTGGAGACATGGTAGGACAGGCATGATTTCCCATAACCACTTATTAATCACAGGCTTAAACTCCCAATTCTGGTTTGAATTTTGGGATGAGAAACTCATACAAGGAAAATTGGAGAATTGCTTTTCCACTCAACAATTTTGTATTTCAATAACTTCAACTATCTTCAAAGCTACCTAAGGGATTATAATAAAATACATAAGGAAAATACTAATAATTAAAGCAATTCTCTATCCATAAAGCATGCCACAATAACCTAATTTCTTTAATAAAATCCATCTCTGTTACCTAGCAATTTAGTAGGTCCTTGAACAACCACTTAATGATGCCTTAAAAAGAAAATAAATGGCTATGTTGTGTCCTCTAAACACTTAGCAAGAGTCTGAAAGACTTAATCTCTGCTTACTGCATTGACCATGCCCTTCCTCACCTTTCTTCTTTCTGTTGAAAATTTCCCTAAAGGACCTACTAAATGGAGTAGTCTCTTACTGTCTCCTAACTGGAAAAGCAGCTCTACTAAATCAGTAAACACATAATGCCTCTAACTGATCATTTAATTGAAATATTTAATTTAAAAACTAATAAAGAAAAGAGGAACTGAGAACTAATTAAATAAAGATAAATAACTTTCCACTCCAGTTTTACTCCTTAGGTATTGCTTATGCCATTTGTTTGATCCCTGAGTATTCTTTAATTTCCTAAGGAAGAGGAAGACACCTGTAAAGCTGACTCCTCTTCCAAAGCCAGAAAAGCAATTCAAGAGGTCTCACTCTGAAGTATTTTTTCATGTAGGCAATTTTTTCTAATTTGAAAGAGGCTGCAGCATAGTATCAGCTTACTTCTTTTAGGATTCAAATTATTTTTTTGTAAACAGAACACTGGGCCACAACACAGTCAGGAAACTGGTTAGTTTGATTAGAAGAAACATATTTGAGCCCTTTACTGAGAAGAAAGGACTTTTAATTACATTTAGTAATTCTTTTGCCAGGTCACAGTAGGCATCTTCTGGATACCTTTAATGTAAAATTCACATTTATTGCAAACTGGACTTCTTAAATTTTGGTTCTAAATGATACACCTGCTTAGTGGCAGTGTTGAAAAGTGTTTGCAATCTGTAAAGACTAAGCTGCTTGTATTCAGAGACTTCCCAGGGCACTTTTAACTGAAGACTTCAACACGTTATTTGAATGCAACTTGCTTCTTCTATGGAAATCACAAATTCTTTTGAAATGCAGTCTCTAATTCACCTGTATTTCCTTGAATGGAAAGGAGATCATTAGTGACTCCACGCAGGGTTTCCAGAGTCGAGTGGGTTACATCATACGTCGGCAGGATGATATCTCTGGAATCCACAGAGCCACACCAGGAGATGACAGGTACAGGCCCAGGGGTGTCATTAGCTTTCCGATGCTCAACTGGCCAGTCTCCAACATTGAGATAAAACTCCACGTCAGGAAGACGAACCTAGATGTGTACCCAATGAAAGGATAATAACACAGAGAAGCTGTCTGTCATTCTTACATCTCTTCCTCAGTTCTGCCATGTCACGCAGACTCAGTACACCTACTGGATAGTTCACAGATTTAGCTGTGCTTAAAGCATGAATTCCAAGCTTCTGCCCTGCAAGCAAGTTTGAAAGGAACACCCAGAGGCCACGAAACAGCTCCCAGTTGGGCCTTAGCCCTTGGAGCTTTCCAAGCATTTTTATTACTGCCAGGACCCCCATGCATTACTCCTAACACCCAGTGTTGTCTTGATGGAATGTCAAATCTTACTCCAGGAATTATACCTGTGAAGATACAACAACAACTGCAGTACTGCCATATTTAAATATGTTGAACCTGGACAAGAGACGACTGAGAGAGGATCTTGTCAATGCTTACAAATATCTTAAGAGCAGCTGTCAAGAGGATGAGGCCAGACTCTTTCCAATGGTGCTCAGCAACAGGACAAGGGGAAACAGGCGTATACCTAAACACAGGAAGTGCCATCTGAATATTACGGAAAACTTCCTTACTGTGAGGATGACAGGGCCATGAAACAGACTGCCCGGACAGGCTGTGGATATTCAAAACCCACCCCGGAGATGATCCTGTGCAACCAGTTCTGGGGGAACCTGCTTCAGCAGGGGAATTGGACTAGATGTTCTCCAGAGGTCCCTTCCCACCCCAACCAGTCTGTGGTTCTGTGATATTGCTTCAATAGTCTGACATGATCCAAACCGATACCTTCCTGGCCAGTGACAGGAGCATTTCATCGGAGAACATCTTGAAGTCTGTGTACTTCCCTAAGGAGCGCCGGTAGATGTGATTATCCAGGATAGTGTAATGGACAATAGCACCTCTTGTTTGGCTGAACTTTGCTGGGATTTCCTTAAACATTCGCTGCAGGTCAATGGTGGGAAATGAAATGAAGTCTTTTGTAATCTGAGGCTCTTGGGATGGACAGGACATCATGTCCTGCCAGACTTCAGGGTCTTCTACAGGACAGTCACAGTATTCATGATAAACTGGTTCTGTGGAAAACAAAGCACCCAGCATCTGTATTCATGATTCTACAGCACACATAATTTATACATTACAATGGCTTGGCATTTTTATACCATGCTTTCTACAGTTTTCCTGAGAAAACAGCCTTCCTACAATTTCTGGAATTCTGCAGTGGAACTGAGAAAACAGCAACATTCTTCTCTTTTCAGAAATGCAAGACTTTGTATCATCAGGGTGAAATTATTCTGCTAAATGAAGCTCCATTTCTGTGAACCTGCCATGCACATGGAGATTCAGAACTTGAGCCATCCACAGCTACCACAGCTCAGGTACTGCAGTTTCAAATATATCCTAATTCAGAACTTTGACACATTACATTATATCAAGAAATACCCTTACCTTTCAAAATATAAGGTGATTGAGCCACATGCTGATCACCATAAAGTATCTCAATTTTTAAGCCTTTTGTGACACTTGCGTACATCCGATACCGCATAAGGAATGTACCATCATTTCTATCCAAAGGCCGAGGCGTGTAAATTCTGGTGACTTCTTTTGGAGAAAGTGCTTTAATTACCACTTTAAACTGTGTTTTTCCTGGCAAGAGGAAAATAAAACCAGACAAAATCACTTAAGCTATTAGTATTGCATCTAGTAAATACAGATAAGGAGCAAACACCACTGAATTAAGACCACAGAATTTAATTTATTTTTCACAACAATTCACTTCAATTGTTTTATCATACCAAATTGGTAAAACTAGTTTCCAGTGATTAAATATCATGCTACCAAATATTCTTAGTCACTGCACACCTCTAAATGGAAAACCTGCAGGTGTAGAAAAAAAGTTAAATATTTTATTATAAGACAGAAGGAAAGGCTAACAGTACTTTGAAGCTAAGATTAGGTTTTATTCTAAGTTTTCAAGTTAGTGCTCTGAGGAACAATAATTTCCTCTAGAGTAAGAAAGACAGGAAACCAAGTTAAAGTAACAGGAGAAAAGAATACTTGCCAGCTTGTGGAAAGGCAGTTGCAGCATGCAGGAGTCACATACAAATTGTTCAGCTTTGGACTGCTGCTGACTGTCTTGCACATTTAAAGTCCCAGCTACTGAAAAGCAGGGATAAGAGAATGATAGTAGAGATGTTCCCTGGACATCTGTCTGACCTGTGCTTAAAGATCACCAGCATTTCATCATTAATGCACTAAGATATGGAATAATTTATGGACAATATGAGTATGCATAAACATAAATCCGTTATAGTCTTTAGTTCTATCACAAGTGGTCATTGCCAACTTTATTAATTAAAAAAAGGAGGGGAGGACAAATTATTCATTGTGACAGTCTAAGCATTGTCAACCAAACAAATACAATGAACGTTACCACCATGTAGTATACAAAAATAAATGAAACGGAAAAAATCCAGATAAAATCAAGATGTTACTAAAACCTGAATATGTCCCAACAGCACTAAATGGCTGAGATGTCAAAGTTAACTCTATATTTTTCATCCACAGATAAATGCACAGATATGGTAAGTACCAGTCTTTTAATGATTAATCAAGTCTTCCTTAGATCACTGGGTCCTGAAATTGGATTCAAGCCAAATGCCGTGCAAGAATATTCAGATTAAATGACTCTCCCAAAGGAATGAACATCTCTACCTCTAAAGGTCACTGCAAGTCACAACCATCATTTAAAACCTGCTTCAAAGTAGCTGACTTCAACCAAGTACCCTCTCCCCATGACTATCCCCTAGTATTATTTGGATGAAGAAGTATTCACATCCAGAGTATGTCATGAGGTTCACAAAGAAAACTGTTTCCTGTTGGTATCACATCTTTGTCTCCTTGTACCCATTTTATTAAACAGCATTTTTACTGGGTATAGTGATTTCTCACTGAAGAAAAGTAAGTTTTCAGCTGTCATAAAAATGAGTGAATATTGTGAAATCAGAAGTCAAATATTACTGAATTTTATATCCTTGTCCTCACCTACAGGAAGTAACTAAGTGGGTCTTTTATCCTGCTGGTTATGTACATCCTGCTCTAGACATGAGGAGCCCTTGATCTACCCAAAGAACATGCTGGGTTTAGTTGGTGGCACTTTAGGCATAGGAATCATTTGATAAGGGAAGTGACTAATAACAAAGCTCTCTGGGAAAAAGCTAACTCCACTGAAAGTGAAGGGGAAGAAAAATGAGACTGAGTATCTCATCTAAGTACAAACAATTCATTGGAGAAAACAGACTTATTTTTTGTAATTTACAACATTCATTGTGTAATAGGGCCAAGGCCTCTACTGTATACTTAATCATGACAGCTTTTTGCTGATTTTTGTTTTTTATTTGGAGGAAGTTACCATGGTACTTTCACTCATGTTTTTTTGTTTCTCTCAATCCAATGGAATTACAAAAGAAAAATGCATCCTTGTTGAATCAGCACCGCTCGTACTTCTCTGCTACCCTGAAAACATGTCTGGGACAACTTTTTAAGTACAAAATAATTTCCCAGTACTGAAAGACACTAAAATATAGACACAGTCAAAATGGGATACTTTAAGAAATCCAGATAATGACACCTGCTTTACGCATTTTTTTTCTTCTGTGCAGCTTGCAAAAGAGGTAGACCACACATAGAGGAACAAGTGACAAAATGGAGGGAAAGAAAGAAAAAGTAACAAAATAATGAATTTAGGCAAATTGCTAGAGAAGAACAAAAAATCCCTAGTCACCCTATTTCTGACATGTATGCGGAAGAGAAATTAAAAGATCTGAAAAGAAGATTTTTTTGATTCAACTGTTTTACCGGAATTGTTTGCTGGTTACTTTCACAGACGGAAATCACAAAATTGACGGACTCACTAAAGGGACACATGAATTATTAGCCTACACTTTCAGAGAGCTGGATGCAACAACATATGTCCAGTAACAAACACATACAGGTCTTGTGTGTGACCATCAGAAAAGCCCAGGGGTCGTGGTAACCAAAGATCCAAAGGGAGGCCCTGCAGTGCCCAGGTATGAAAGTGAACTGAAACGTACAACTCTGTTTGCAGCACTGGAATGAGAGCTGGAAGAAGCATGCCCTGCTCTCTGAAGGCATTTGGTGAAACCTGCAAGGATACCTGGGAGGCCTTGAAAAAATATTTAGCACAGTATAATCTGAACAACAGTTAACAGCTGATTTTATCACAGTCAATAGTATATAAAGACATGGTTGGCAGTTGTTAAACCTAGGATAAAACCTAGCAGAAAAAAAGGATAAGACTTATCCAAGTAGCCGAAGGAAAAAAAAATATGCAGTTTACACTAAAAGAAAGTTCTGTATTTTCAGCAGGGATTTTCCTAATCTTTGAAATAATTTTCCAGGGAAAGAATGAATTCTGCATCATTCGACATCTTCCTACAAAGGCAGGTCAAACAGTTACAGCCTCTGGGTTGCAATTCCAGTGTAATGTGCAACGTAGCACACCAATTCTGGTGAACAGACTAGATATTCAGAAAACAATTCTGGATTTTAAATCTACTAATTATGCTATACAAGTTTTATCATGGATCCCAGTAAGTCCTGACTCACTTGACTGAAATTCTAATGCACACAAAAACCAATTTAATAGATTTGGACACATTTCACAAATGTGATGCCTTAACTGTAGCTCTGCTGCTCTGATCACAGTGTTTCTGTTTTGCAATGGGGGTGATAATATCAATTTTTTGCTATCTCAACAGGTATATTTTGAGTTGTTTTTAGTTTATGTTGGAGTGGTGCCTGAATGAATATTGTTAATTGCAGTTCTCAATTACATTTTACAGATTTGAACATTTTAAATCATTACAGAATGGAAGTTTATAGCCAGGGTCTCTATGAATACTTTAAACAGTGCTCATGCACTGGAACATGATGAACTCTACCACTAATTTTTTTAAGGATCCTTGGCACCCTCCTAAACAATTCCTGGCATGGGACAGCAGATAGCACAGGCCAAGGCAGCAGCTCTTCCCTGCTGGCAGCACGCATGCTCTGTCTTTGACTGGAGGCCACAGCGGGTCATGGGATGAATGGAGATCACTCCATGCCAGATGGCATTGGGACTTGGAAACTTTCCTGAGACACTGAATTTATTAACATAAATACGAACACACACAAACACACTGCAATCAAAACTAGGTTCTCAGTACCCATGTCCTCCCAGTTTATCTTGGAGGACTTACACTAGCATGAGAATCCAATTGAACTTCACACCTTTCCACCTTTAGCAACCTGTTGTTTGAACCCAGGGCTCCCCCTGTGCAGCTGCTGTCAGCCTCCATCCCACTGGCAGTGAGCATAAAGTCACATTCTGGACTGCAACTACAAAACTGCACTGACATCCAGCACCAAGCTGCAGATGCAGAAAGCCCAGACATGAAATATCTGAAGTATCCACCCTCCTGTCAGACTGAAGACATACCCTGTATAACATATGGCTACTCCTTAATTCTGCAAGCAGCAGCTTTCTAACTATCAAGACATGAAGAGGCCATACATACCTGGTATGCCCCCTCAGTACCATCTACACAGCAAATTAAGTAGCTTCTACCCTATGTAAATTAGCAACACAAGATTTCCTCTGGGGCTATTTCAGAGTTATCTTCATTATGGAATCTCTGACACAAAAGTAATTTTTATTCCAAATTTAAACTATTAACACAGAGCGTGTGGAGTTAACTTTGCAGCAGCAAACAGCTGACTGGCATCATACCACTGGCCTGCACGAACAAACCCAACTCCCACCCTTAGGAGAAGTGTTACAGGATGGTTTGTGCTTAGCAAACAACAAATGAAAATTACTCCTTAACGGAACAGCAGCAGGATAACAGAGCCCAGAGAGCTCTGCTGACTGAGACAGAAATTTTAAGCAACTGGTGTGTGTGCGGCATTAAAAATAATTACGTTACCGCTTCCCAGCAGTGTACTGGGATTTTACGTCCACTAGTTCCAGGAACACTGGTTCTTTCTGGGCTTACGGTTCTTTGCTGCAAATTCCATACTGTTTAGAGCAGAGGAGGCACTGGGCAGCACCAGAAGAAAGGAGGCTCTGACCATGTGCTTCTCTCGCCATCCTGCGCGTCCCGGGCGCTGCGGGACCGGGCGCGGGGGCAGCCCGGGAGCAGCGATGGCACAGCCACCGCACAGAACGGGGAAAGGAAGGAAGGAAGCAAGGAGGAGGGGAAGAGGGGAAGGGCTGGGCACCTCCAGCCAGGTTCTGCGGCGAAACCGCAGCCCGGGGCAGGACTTCCATTCCGCGCCGCTGCCCGCGCCGGAGCACACGAACGGTACCTGGCGGGGAGCGGGAGAAGTTGCGTCCGGCCGCGCTGACCGCCTGGATGTAGAAGTACCGCACGGGCACGGTGAGCCCCGCTTCCAGCCCGGGGCCCCACACCAGGCTCCGCTCGGCGCTGACGGGCTCGGCGGGCTCCGCAGACTCCGCCGGCCGCAGCAGCAGCCCCGCGGCGCCCAGCAACAGCAGCACCGGCAGCGGCAGCAGCCCTCGGCCCCCCATCGCCCCTCAGCACCCACCGCAGCCGCTCGGAGGGCTCCGGGGCCTCCTCGGGCCCCGCCCGCTCCCCGCCCCTCAGGGCGGCCCGACGGCGCCGGGGCCGGGTAGAGCCCGAGGGAGGCGAGCAGAGGGCCGGGCTTTCCCCGGGCGGATGGATCCGTGTCCGCCTTTCCTGGTTCTCCTCCTCCTCCGGGCCGTCCCGCCATGTCCTTAGGGAGGATGGGGGGTGAAGCCCAGCCCGTGTGGGCTGGACCGTGCTGGCGGCGGGAGCGTGCTGTGCCCGCGGGGCTCGGGCACGGGCGCGGGTTCGGAGCCGTGCACTTCCCCGGAGCCGCGGGATATACAGCCCTGTGAGAATGCTGTGAGAGCGGCTCGGAGCCGCTGGTCTGCGGTTGCCTGTCCTGAGGGGATTTTCTTCCCTGCCCGTGGGCGCTTTGCGGGACGCGCTGAGGGGCAGGTGATCGGGGGGTGCGTCCGCCCCCCTCAAAGAACACGTTACCTGTGGTTTGGGATACAACTCAGGCGGCAGCTGAACAGCTGGCCTGGAATTTAGAGGAGAAAATTCGTCTTTCTCTATAGCTTATTGTTACTGCCTTGTATCAGCTGATGTACAGATTGATGTAAAAGGAAAAAAAAGCCCCGAAACCTGACATAATTTAAAATTCCTCGGTGTTTTTAAGATTTCCCATAGCAATTGCTATGAAGGACAGAGCAGGGACCCTGTTAGGACGCACTGACACACGGTTCCTGTCACTGGGCTCAGCTGCCTGTCCCAGAGAGGAGGCTCAGACCCAGGTGCTCCTGAGGCCTGTGGGTGAGGTGCTGCTGGTGGCCCTGTGATGCTTGGTGAGAGGGGAAAGGGATCACAGTATTATCCTCTAGAAAATGTAACAACAAAATAATTTCATGGATTTGAAATGTTGGGTTATGAGTAAAGAGGGTAAAACTCCAATGATTTGTCTCCTAAGGTTGTTTTATTGTTTTTACCATTAGCTGCTACTAGGAAGTATTTCAAGGCATGAGTAGATGGGAGAGCTTACAAGGCAGTAAGAGAATTAAATCAAGCTTCTGGGCAAGCCTGGATTTTCACATGCAAAGCAATGAGAGCACAAATGAATTCTGCCTGGTTTTGAATAACATGAACTTCAAGTCTCTGTGCATACAGACCATGAAAAACAGGTTCCTTGAAGGGGGAATTATCAAGTCTGGTTTCCTCCTTGCTTTTGTCTTTAGTCTCTTCAGTTCCCTCACTTCAGATATCCACAAATCTCCACGACATACCGTGTCTGATACTCCCAACAGGTGCAAGAAAACTTGTGTAGTGTTCCAGGGTACAGGGCAGGGCTGAGGTCAGGTGGGGACATCAATCTGCAGATCAGGATCAGTCCCTGTGAGGGGAATCGGGGTCAGACACCACTTTGGGATTGTTGCCTGTCCTGGGGTTGTCAGCCTGCAGATAGGGCCAGGCTCAGCAGGGAGAGCAGAGGAGAGATGGAGACCAATGACGTATGCCATCAGTGGGACAGGGACTGATGGCCCCAGGCTGGCCTGAAGTGGTGTCCATGGGCAGGGAGAGCAGGGGGAACCCTAAGCAGGTGGGGAGGATCAAGGCCTGATGGTGCTCTTGGGCTCCTGTCCCTGGGAAGGAGCCACCCCTGTTCTGGTATGGGCTGGGACCAGCTGTTGGGAGCAGCTCTGAGGGAATGGCCCTGAGAATCCTGGTGGGCATGGAGGGACATGAGCTATCAATGGCAGTAACAGCGGCCAACAGCAGCCTGGGCTGAAGGAACAAGGGCAGAGCCAGAGGTCGAGGGGAATCATTATCCACCTCCACGCAGTACTTGTTAGACCACATCTAAATCCTGCATCCAGCCTTGCGCTCCCCAGTACAAGACATCAATAAACTGGATCAAATCCAGGGGAAGCCACTGAGATGGCAGCACTGGCCCTGTGAGGAGAAACTGGGGCAGCTGGACTTGTTAAGCCTGTTAAGAGATACCTTCAATGAGGGGGTGAACCTCACAGAAGCCCCCAGGAAAATCATGATATGGTGCAGGGCAGAAGGATGAAAGACAAGTGGCATGAGTTGAAAGAAGAGATGGTCACCCTGTAACATTTCCATGATATAGGCTGAGGCACATGTTGCCTAGAGAGACTGTCCAGTCTCTGTCTTCAGAGATTTTTCAAGCCTCAAATGGATGAAGCCTTAAAAAGCCAGCCCTGACCTTGAAGCCAATCTGCTGTGAGCAGGAGGCTGGACCGTAGACCTTCTGAGGTCACACCCACCCTGACTTATCCTTTGGTGAAACCATGAAATTTCTGTCCCTTCTTTCAAATGTCATCAAGATGGTAGAATGCTCAAAGATCATCTGGGTACATGCATGGCCTACTGGGTGGACAGAGGTCTACACAGAAAAACCACCTTGGTTCACAAACCCTGTTTTCCTCCTGAAGCCAGGTTGAAGGACTGCTCAGGTACCACAAATACTGGCTGTAGTAATTAAGGCTGAAAGACTGTGATTAGTCTCACACTATTACACGGCACGTGGCAGCCAGGTTTCACTCAGGCCCAATTGCAGCTGAAGGGATCTTCACGTGGAGCTCATCACCTTGTAAAACTACTCATCAAACACTACCCTTGGCCCCTACGTGGAGTATTGGCACCTCAAGGCAAGCTGCAGGCACATGGCTCTCTAAGGGTTTAATGTATCTACTGTAAATATTCTACTATGGATGGAAAACTATTCTGTGTGCTGGAGACTCGTCAGCTGGCAGGACAAGAGAAGGCAGCACATCCTGCCTGAGCCCAGCAGCTGCTGTGACTGCTGGCTACAGCTGCAGGCAAGGCTGCCTGCCCTGCTCAATCCATGGCTCTGCTGGCCAACAGCACCCTGATGATGTTGGCAACCATATTAAGATGCTGGTTTGGTTTTTTTTAATAGTCTACTGCATTCACAGCATGTGAAAAACAAATACAGTGCCAATAATTATTTCATGTAAATGCAGAATTTATTTCAAACCAATCATTTGAAATGTGAAAATGCTGTAAATTATCAATATTTATAGAATTTATTTTTGCCAAAGAAAATCTTGGAAGAGTGGAAGTGTCAAAATTTGGCTCTGCTAAACTGAATGGAGCTGATTGCTATTCAAAGGTATTTCTCCCTATGTTCTCATGCAGTTGACTGTTTGAATACTGTTATTCAGTGTAAATTTTAGTTTACAGATCCTCAACAGGCTGCAGTCTTCCACTACTAATTTACAATCCAAAGCAGTTTTTACTTGCTTACATTAAATCAAGCCACCTGATTTCCTGTCATACACAGCATAGCAAATGAAAAAAAAATTATGTCTGCAAGGTGAGGACTTAATCCAACTGCTGTTGAATGGTTAGAAAATATTTACAAATAAAAATGTTCTAAACCATCCACATCTAGTCAAGAAAAACGGTATGACCATTTACTTCCTTTGTACACATTTCTTTTATTATTCTTTACCTTATGTAGGCTGGTATCCCAAATTTTTGTATAAATTTATTTTGCAGAAATGTACAACAGCAGAAATTCCGCACAGATAGTCAGCTGGTTTTATTGTCTTACTCTACAGAATCCTGTACACACCGAGAATAGAGACATTTACAGAAAAACATAATTTCTCTTTAGAATACCACTTTTTACAAGACTGCAATTATACAGTAGTCATCTCCTTCCAGCATTGCCTATGTCAGCATATGTTTTTATTCTTGTGAAACAGGCATGTGGCAGAGATCAGTTCTGTCTATAAATATACAGTTTATGTTAGTCCTTCTATGTACAACAAAAGACAAATTACCCCAGCAAAAAGTCATGATACTTATATATCAGTACAGATTTGAACTACAGACCCACTTCTTTAACGAAGCTTACAGTATGAAAAAATAAGGATACCTCTTACCTACTGTAATATTTTCATCTTTTAGTTTCTTGTGGAGTAGACAGTGATACAAGCATTGCTTGCTTTGTGTAAAATATATTATTTTAAAATACCAATATACTGTCCTTCAAGTTAGAAAAATATAATTATGTCCTACAGAAATTTTATTGGATTAAAAAGCATATAAAAATATGGACCATCATTTCAGACCATATATGAAATAAGAAATAAAGCAGAAGAAAATGTATAATTATTTTAAAATATATCTTCTGGCTCAGTGAGCCACTTCTGATTTTTCATAAAAAGAGAACAAAGGTTATTTAGAAATTTTATGGCCAGGGACAAGTTTTAGCTACTGAGTAATAATACTACATTGTTGTTGTGGCTGAAGAAGAGCCAATGGAACATGTTTACACCCATTCAGTCTAAAGGATGAAGAGTACTGTGGTCACAGCAGAAACAGCTGAACAATACCAAAAGGGGATTGTAGTTTAACAAAGGCCAAAGCGCCTTTCTTACAGTTTTTATTTACTTTGCATGTAAAAAGCCCCCAGTCTGTACGGTGCAGCAGTGCCCCAGCCAAGTGCCCTGTCAGGCTGCCCCGGGTGCTGCCCTGAAGGAGCCCAGTGGCTGCACGTGCCTCATCCCAAGAGCAGCCAAGCAGAAGCAGCTACAGAACTCTAGGACCTCACAAACTGTTTTGGTTATTTTTCCATTGGTAGGACAACTAAAGATTCAACCGATGAGGTTAATACAGGAAACCAACAAGCTAAATATTTTTATATTTTGAATTGTTAAAAGTGTATGTCTTTTAATCCAAATTAACCTGTTTCTAAGACCAGAAATCTAGCCAGTCATGTCAACTGTAACCAAAGCTGTGCTGGTTATGAATCTTTCATGTCTGGAAAGCAGATTTCCATGCTCAGCTTTCTTTCTTTTGGTCAGTTTCTCAGTGATGTGTCCTATGTGGAGCTGTTTCTCCTACAGTAGAAGTACTTCTGCAACTCACATTGCTCACTGCTCTTGCAATGTGAAAAGTCCTGGTGTGGAATCTGCCTCAATAGCACAGCAGAACAAATGCCACTAGGGAAATTATTGCTGTGCTTCCCAGGAATGCAGGAAAAGAACATTCATGTAGAATATGCTGTAAAGATTTAAGAGGTTTC